ATGCCAAAAAGAAAATTAAAACCAAGCTCCCTGCAGGTTAATTTAAGTGATTATTTTGGCACCTAGTTGTGCTTGAAGTTAGAACTTGGTGCTTTTATATCATACTTGGACCCATTCCACATATCCTATTAGATTTGTGATTTATTCTCATCTAACTTGGGATGCATGAGAATTCACCTAAATCCTGAGACTTAATTCTTTAGATTTGCAAAGGTCTTGGGGATGTCGTAGATAGTGAGGTCTAAAGACAGTTCTGTTTAAAATGATCTTTTGTTAGTGATTACTGATATATGTAGAGTTAAGATTAATTTATATTCTGAAAATTTCCTTTGTGTATTTATAGTCTAATATCCAGTGCAAGGAGAAAAATTATAGCAGGGATTATGGAATTCTACACTCTGAAAGAGTCTTAAGGGATCATCTGATCCAACTCCTTCATAGCATAGCCGGGAAAATTGCAGGCAAGAGAGTTAGGTGACTTGGCCAAAGTCATAGATCTAGAGAGCTAGCAGATGGGTGAGGAATGAACTCAGGTCTCCTGTCTTCAGTCCCAACCTGTTTGACACATGTTTATGTTGCAATGTGTACCCAAATAGAAATGGATGTGAAATAAAAAATGTAATGTGAGTTGGTTTCTCTTATTACGATCCAGCCTCTTTTTGGTAGCTGGGTCAAGCTTAGCTCTAAGAGCCCATCCATAGGAACAAGATGGCCTGTGAAGCATTCTTAAAATATATTCTATAGGGAGATAAATTTTGAATGTTTTTATTCATACCTCATTTTCCTAAGTGGCAAATGACCAGTGATCTAGTATTTCTGTATATAAGGAGGAAATAAGACTGAAAGGACTTTTCTTTGGGTTTCTCTTTTTTTAATAGGAAATACTTTAAAGCCAAATTTTCATTAAAGAAATGGTACTTCTTGGTAGAGGAAAATGACAATTCATTTTTCCATTTTTAAAAATTTTTTTTTAATTTTTAATTTTATTATGTTAATCACCATATATTACATCATTAATTTTCGGTGAAGTGTTCCATGATTCATTGTTTGCATATAACACCCAATGCTCCATTCAATACGTACCCTCTTTAATACCCATCACCAGGCTAACCCATCTGCCTACCCCCTTCCCCTCTACAACCCTCAGTTTGTTTCTCAGAGTCCATAGTCTCTCATGGTTCATCTCCCCCTCCGATTTCCCCCCTCTTCATTTTTCCCTTCCTACTATCTTTTTTTTTTTTAACATATAATGTATTATTTGTTTCAGAGGTTAGGTTAATTGGGAACCTTTTAAAATTGAGTGTACTGAAGCTTTAATGTATGTATAAGTTGGTTGAACAGATTTAATTAAAACTTACCTCTATTTTGAGATTAATTACTTTCAACAGTGCAAGATTAATGAGGCCTAGTCATGGTACCTCACATGTTGTGGATACTCAGTAAATACTGGTTTGGGAAATTAGGTAATACTTTGGTATTTTAGAATCTCGCATGTATTATAATGTCTTAGATTCTTTCCCAAATTGGGGGGTACTCAACTATCAAATTTACTAGTTCAACTAAAATATATTTTTCCTTCTTACATAACTTTTAAAAACTTTTTATTTGAACATCGTTTCAAATATACAAAAAGTTACAAAAGGAAAAAGAAACAACTGTGTGTGTGTGTGTGTGTATGGACATGTATATATATGAACACACATATGCACAATTTTTCTGAACAATTTGAGCTTAAATTATATACATTATGCCCCTTTTCCTAAATACTTCAGTGTGTGTTTCCTAAGAATAAAATATTCTCTTATATAAACATATTAAAATTATTAAACTCATAAATGTATATTGATAGAATATTTTTATCTACTCTATCATCTATGTTCCAATTTTGTCAGGGGGCCTAATAAAACCATTTATAGCCTTCTTGCCCTCCAGTACAGGGTCTAGGGTCAGGTATTGCCTTTAGTTGTCATGTCTTTTAGCCTCCTTTTGAATTCGGAGTATTTCCATAGCCTTTTTTTTTTTTTAATCTTTTATGACGTTGACATATTTAAAGAATACAGTGTTCCTTGAGTTTGTCTGCTGTTGCCTTATAATTAGGTTGAGGTTATGCATTGTTAGAGAACCGCATAGGTGATAATATCTAGAGGCACTTGATGGCCATCTGACCTCATTGGTGATGTTACCCAGTCAAGGTGTTGTCTGATTTCTCCACTGTATAGTTTTTTCCTCCCTTGTAGCTAATAAGCCATCTGTGGGAAGACACTTTAAGACAAAATTTCCATTAGATTTGGCATCCTTTAGTGATTTTTGCCTGATCCGGTCTTTACCATGATGGTTGCAAAAGAGAATTATCCTGTGCTATCTCACCCTCCATTTAGTCTTTGACTTTCTCCTGTGAGCAAGAGCCCCTCCTTCCTTTTCTCTATTTATTATATAGTATCAGTGTGGACTCGGGAATTGATATTTTTTCAGTGGTTTTTAATTTATTACTGTATTTAATATTTTGGTGCCCAGCTTGCCCAGACTTGACTAGGGATCTCCTTCAAACTGGCTCCTGTATCCTGAGCACTTTTTTTACTTTCTGGTATAAGAAAATATCCTGGGCTTTTCTCGTACCTATCCTATCCTAACCATGGAATCAGGCATTTCCCTGAGAAATCCATCTCCTTTAAAGGGGGAATGGTATTAGAGACTGAGATCTGGGCACTAGATGTGCTCACTGCCGCTGGGGTGTCTTCTTTTAAAGCACATTAGCAGACAAAGCTAAGAATGCACACACACACACACACACACAGAAATGTACGTATTTTACAAGTCTGTGAGTACACACTAGTGCCTTCCATTTGAATCCATCCCAGTTATTTTTCTATTCCCCCATTCCAGGTTTGTGTGCCCCCCTCTTCTATAGTAAGGACTCCAGCTCCCAACAATATCAACACCTTAACTCATTTGCTCAATCCTGAAATATATTTAAAAATAGTTTCAAAATTGCTTTGCCTGAACTGCTATGATAAGCAAACCTAGTAAAAAGAATTGGGGATTTGTTTGTAATTCTTTTCTCCTTGCCCAAGACTGACAGTATATTAGTCATATATTATGTTCATAAGTTACTTGGATTAGTTATTTTTTTTCTTTCATCTTTTCCTTTTTTCTTTTCCCTTCAGTGTAGTTATGTTATTCTTTTGAAATAAAATTAGGCTAATTTGTTTTTGTTTGCTTTCAGCTATAGATTGCTCTCCATTCCCATTCTTATTGTTTTAATTTTATTTTTTGAATATGTAGAGTATTAACATGCTCTCAAAAATCAAAAATATACTGAAGTTATTCTCCATAATGTTTTAGTTTGAGTCCCACCTTCCTTTTTATGAAGTGAAAGATATGTAACTAGCAAAGAATTATACCTGTGTTGTTTTGTTCAGTTTATACCTATGTTCAGTTTTGTTGTTATTTAAAATAAATTTGTCTATTGACTTTTCTCCAAAGAAGACATAGAAATGGCCAACAGACATATAAAAAAATGCTCAACATAAACCTCATCAAGGAAATGCAAATCAAAACCATAATGAGATATTACCTTATACCTATCAGGATGGCTAAAATCAAAAACTCAAGAAACAAGTGTTGGCGAGGATGTGGAATAAAAGAAACACTGTTGGTGGAAATGAAAACTGGTGCAGTCACTGTAGAAGACAGTATGGAGGTTCCTCAAAAAATTAAAAATAGAACTACCCTACAATCCAGTAATCGTACTACGAAAACACTAATTCAAAGGGATATATGCACCTCTATTTTTATCAGCGTTATTTACAATAGCCAAACTATGGAAGCAGTCCATGTGTCCATCGACAGATGGCTAAAGATGTATCTATATTCCACATATATGTGTGTGTGTGTGTGTATGTATTATTTAGCCATAAAAAAAGAATGAAATCTTGCCATTTGCAGCAACATGGATAGAGCTGGAGAGTATAATGCTAAGCGAAATAAGCCAGTCAAGAAGGACAAATACTGTATGATTTCACTCATATGTGGAGTTTAAGAAACAAAACGAACAAAGGGGATAAAAAAGAAAGGCAAACCAACAAACAGACACTTAACTATAGAGAACAAACAGTTAGCAGAGGGCAGGTGGATGAGGGGATGGGTGAAATAGGTGAAGGGGATTTAAGAGTACACCTATGTTGATGAGCATTGAGTAATATATATAGAGCTGATGAATCACTATATTGTACACTATATGTTAAATACACTGGAATTAAAATAATAAAGTCCTCAAAAAATTTTAAAAATGAAATAAACTTTGTCCATTGAGATTAAGGTTATAAAGGAACTTAATTTTTGGAAACATATTTCAGGCTCAGTGATTTGTAACTTTGATTCCTGGGGACAGTGGTTCTCAATGATTTCCGCATTCCAGCATACCAGAGTTACTATTCGATGTGTTCAGTAACATTGACTCCTTGCTGCAGTGATTGGGTGGCGGTGGGAGTATAGGAGGGCCAAGGTTGTGCTAACCCATTTTGAGAATGCTTGCTGTAGGGCTAATGAGAGCATTAGAACCTCCCAAGTGCATTGTTTAGGAAAAATCATAGAGACTCCTGTGATACAAAAGACGGTGACTATGTAATAATACAAAATAATCAAATCAAGCAAGCAAACAAAAAGTTTAGTTCCAAATTAATATAAGTGAAAGAAAATACCACCTTAGTGCCTTGACTCTGCTGCCTCAGATGTACCTTCCTTTATGTTCCCACAAAGGTGCTTGTGTGGAATTCTGTGGCTTGCTGATATTCTTGGAGCACGTCTGAAAAGTCACACGACTAGATGATTTATACTCATCTGTATTTGCCATTTCTAATAACACGAGTATTTGGTTTATAAATCTTTAATCCAGGATAAGGCTATTGCACACCAGCTATAATTTAGCTGGTTGAAAGAACTAAAGGTGTCTTGATGGGAAGTGTCATAATATAGCTGTGTTTTTTTTCTCTTTGCTACAGCCTTAATACAGATATTGGCAGCTGCTGTAGCTGAGCGTGATGTAGTTTATTTCACCTTTGGGGACTCAGAATTGATGAGAGACATTTACAGCATACACACTTTCCTTACTGAAAGGAAACTAACTGTTGGTAAGTAGGAAATCGTCTTGACACTTGGTATCTAGATAGATTGTCCACCATCCAGGACAGACAAACACTTGTTTAAACTGGATGGATCACAGTGGATAAGAAAAAATGAAAGCATGACTTTGAGAAGGGTGGACACAGTCTTAGTTGGGCAACATCTGCAGAATCTTTTTTCTGACAAAGTTTCATCTGCTATCTTGAATGAGTATGTGAGCTTATTAAAGTAAGGCCAAGAAGCTGGAGTTTAATATTTAATATCCATTTTTACTTTCATGCATATAGAAAACTAAAAGAGGGACGGTATAGGAAGGAGGGAGAGTTCAAGTCTAAGAGGCCTCACTCTGAGTCACATTTATCAGACATAACAGCATGCTCATTTGCTGTATTTCAGCTGGACCTGAAAGGCCTTGCTACCCTGGGAGCTGAATGTAGAAATAAAGTTGCCACAAACTCCCCAAATGGTACGTGGCTGATGTACCATGTGTGGCCTGTTGTCATCATGAACTAATAAGTAGTTTTTAAGATACTTAAAAATTTTTTTAAGTTTACATGAGGAAAGCCTTCCAGGAATATGCCATTCATGCTCTGTTTTCAAAACCCAAAAGTGAGCACATGTTAAGTTAGATTAAGATAGATTAAGATTTCTGGAGTGTTCCCTAGCAATTTTATCCATCTACATACCTTAATGTGGGTATTGATCTGGCCTTTTACTCTCCAGGAGAAGTATATAAGCTGTTGCTCCGGTATTACAATGAAGAATGCAAAAACTGTTCCACCCCTGGACCAGACATCAAGCTTTATCCATTCATATACCATGCTGTTGAGTTCTGTGCAGAGACCACCAACCAGCCAGGACAAAGGACTGGGGCCTGAGGAGCTGAGTAAATAGAGAACCTCCTTCCACCTCTCACTAGAAACATCCTGTTTGACTTGTCAGGTGTAATATACGAACTGACTTAACTTAATATGAATGTGTATATAATCCAGTTTGTGGGCAAGGATGCAATCCCTTCCACACACATGCAGTTGTCATGTAAGCCCCCTCCATCCTAACTTACACAGGCTTAAATATATTTTGTTTGCATTTTTTCTATTTCAGTCTTCATCCTTCGGTTTTTCTTTCTTTTGCCCTTCAGATTTCCTGTGAAATCCCATGAAAGGTTGTGCTCAGCCTGTCAGATCTCTTTTTTGATGCCTATATATTATGCACATTGCCTCTGCAGCTAGCAGATGCCAGGGATGCCAGGGAAGAAGTTGAAAACAAAGAACTTTTTAACTGGGTTTGCTAAAGATTTCCCTGTAAGCCTTTCACCCCCAACTCTTGTTATGATTGTGTTGTTTGAGTTTTGAATTTTGAAAATAAAGAGTTGAGGATTTTTTTCAGACGTTACATAATGCACATCTCCTAGGTTAAAACGATTTTGTATTTCAGACAGAATAATTTCCAGATACAGTTCTTTTAAGACAGCACCTTGATCTATAATGGTTTCTCAGTCCCTTCTTCCCTGATCAATTTTTATTAATACTGTTTTTGGAAACTGACCAAAATGGAAGGAAATGTATAATAAAAGAGTTTCCCCAAATGGTGTTTTTTTAAAAAAAAGAAAAGATGCAAGAGAGTTGCAGGATCTCTCGTTTCTTGGGATTTTTTTTGTTTGTTTTCAAATTAGAATTATTGTTTGTTTTATGGTGCTTGAGGCATATTCATATAACCAAAGTTTAGGAACTGGGAACTCATGCTGATTTGTACATATTGAAGTTTCTCTGGTATTCAAAGGTTATATAGTCAATAAATTTTAATTAACAAATCATTTGTCAGAAACTCCCACATCATCTATATTTTATCTATAAATATAAATATATGTTCTTTAAGTGTGTCTGTGTGCAAGCACATAAAATCCAAAAAAAACTGGAGTTATGGAAAATGATTAGATTTAGGTTTAATCAGGAGCTCTGTTTAAAATCATTTATTTACAATTGTGTCCATTTAAAACTGGCATCAAACATAAACAATAATGTCTTTCAGAGGTTAAAATGAAAGCTGATTCTGCATTGAGAGTAGAGTTTAATCCTGAAGCATTTATTCATATTTCTAAAATAATACTTTACTGTTAAAGCTCTAGTTTATAGTCAGCTGTCAGAAAATGCTATTGGAGGTTAAATCCTAGTAATAAGAAATTTTGATAGATGGTCCAAACTCCTGGTGTCAGTATTGGCAGGAAAAAATGGGGCCATGGCCAATGTCTGCAATTCTTTTTTTGTGTAGAGATTGAGAGGTTAATGGAATTTGGCACCTGATGGCAGCCACTTATCATTAACAAAGTTCTTTACCATAGTAACTAAGATTTTTAATCATCTCCCTAAATCCAAGGTGTCTGGCTTTATTTCTACTGATACTAAAGTCTTCTCTTTCTGTCCCAACCCATTTGGAGCTTTGGTTAAGCATTCATGGTTATATTTCATTTCTTTTTTCTGTTTCTATATCTTTTCCTCTTACCCAGCCCCAAGACTAAGTGAACAGTTCTTTAAAACATTACATGAACAGTATAGGATGGTTCGTGTGGTAGAGAAATCATTAAATCCAGGTAAGAAGACACCCAGCCTAATATTCCAGAACATAGAATCTAAGACTGAACTCTTAATGCTAAACAGGCTTAGTGTCTAGGCCATCTATCTGAGTGCCTCTCTCTTTTGAGGGTTTTCCAAGAATAAAACCTGCCTACTTTGTCCCAGTACATTCCAGGATTGGGATAATTTAATCAGATGGAGCATAAAGAGAAATAATGCCCATTTTTTGAGGCAGGAGGAATGCCTTCTGTAAAAAGAGGAAAAAATCAGACATCTAATTAACATTTGTCTATTCTAAAACATTCAGCAGCATCTTTTTATTCCATTAGGGGTTTATTGTTTCATTTCAAATTGTTTACCCTTCCCTTCTTTCATCTGTTGAGGCATGAAACAATATTTTAGTTTAGAATTCTTAAGTGGTTAATATAGCTCACTTGCTTTACACTTTCTGTCTAGCTCACTCAAATGCCCTTAACAGTTAAAAGAAGCAATGTGGAGTAATGGAAAGGATATGAGATTTTAAATCAGACAGACTGGTTTCAAATGCTAGCCACATCCCTTGATAATTCTCTAAATAAACTGAATTTCTGAGCCTTATTTAACTCATCTAGAAAACAGGCTATTAGCACTTATTAGGAAATGTTATATATAAAGAAGTGCTTGTGGGGTCTGGCACATAGTTGGTGCTCAATAAATGTCAACTGTTATAATTGACCAGGAAACATTTATGGAGCATCTACTGTACATTAGGTACTGTACTAGTTGCTTTGCATATTTTAGCTCATTTTTCTTTTTAATTTTTATTGTTATGTTAATTACCATACATTACATCATTAGTTTTTGATATAGTGTTCCATGATTCATTGTTTGCGTATAACACCCAGTGCTCCATGCAGAACGTGCCCTCTTTAATACCCATCACCAGGCTAACCCATCCTCCCACCCCCCTCCCCTCTAGAACCCTCAGTTTGTTTTTCAGAGTCCATCATCTCTCATGGTTCGTCTACCCCTCCGATTTCCCCCGCTTCATTCTTCCCCTCCCGCTACCTTCTTCTTCTTTTTTTTTCTTAACATATATTGCATTATTTGTTTCAGAGGTACAGATCTGAGATTCAACAGTCTTGCACAATTCACAGCGCTTACCAGAGCACATACCCTCCCCAGTGTCTATCACCCAGTCACCCCATCCCTCCCACCCCAACCCCCACTCCAGCAACCCTCAGTTTGTTTCCTGAGATTAAGAATTCCTCATATCAGTGAGGTCATATGATACATGTCTTTCTCTGATTGACTTCTTTCGCTCAGCATAACACCCTCCAGTTCCATCCACGTCGTTGCAAATGGCAAGATCTCATTCCTTTTGATGGCTGCATAATATTCCATTGTGTGTGTGTGTGTGTGTGTGTGTGTGTGTGTGTGTGTGTGTGTGTATACACACATCTTCTTTATCCATTCATCTGTCGATGGACATCTTGGCTCTTTCCACAGTTTGGCTATTGTGGACATTGCTTTTAGCTCATTTTTCTAATGGGCTAACAGATACCCAGAGGTTAGGGAATACCATCTGAACCTCCAGAAGTTCCTTGTGAAAGGAGACTTACTCTGTCATCTCTGGAGGAGACCTGATAGAACAAAGGCTCTGACACTGTTGTTCTCTACCAAGTTCCTACTATAAGGTATTCTTCATAATGAATGACTAGTTATCAGTGGGGTACATTAAAATGTCTCTGAGAGAATTCTTTTTTTTTTTTTTAAGATTTTATTTATTTATTTGAGAGAGAGAGGAGAGACAGTGAGAGAGCACAAGCAGGGAGGAGAGGGAGAAGCAGAGCAAGGAGCCCGATGAGGGACTCGATCCCAGGTCCCTGGGATCATGACCTGAGCCGAAGGCAGACGCTTAACTGACTGACCCACCCAGGTGCCCCAAATTACTTCTTTTCTTGCTGATTGAAGTGACATTAAGGGCAGGCAGACCCAAATTGGTACTTAAAGGGGCGATTGAAAAGGAGATCTAACCAGGCTTCATGACTGCTATGCCAGGTATTTAACCAATATTTATTGCTTTGGAAACCGAATTTTGATTAAGCTGTCCCAATGCAAGAATATGAGGGAGCAAAGAAGTAGTTGGGTTACATTCTTTAAAACTTCAGTAGGAAGAGAAGCAGTTGTGTACAGATTCTCACCTGCTTTTTTTTTTTTCCTGTCTTTTCCGATCTATGTAGCTTCGTGTTCATGACTTTTTTCTGATATAAGGAAAACCTAAATCCTAGTTTGTCTCCTTTAAAGATAAGTAAAGTTTAGAAGGCCTGTACTTTCTTTATTTAACCTTGTGGATCTTCCCTAATCCTTTGTTTTTGGAAGTAAGGGAAAGACCAGCCATTGCTGGCAGTTGAGCTCAAATATTTAATCCTGTTCTTGTTTGGGGGCTATAAGGGGGTCCCAGTGTGATACTTATTGGAACAAACTAAAATCCACTGACCCACTGCTGTTCTCTGTGCCTGTGACAGAGTGCCCTTTGTTGCCCCTCACCAGATTCCCACACAGATCTACTGAGCCTCCAGAGCAGGTTTCCCATACAAGACAACCAAAACTGCTATGTTCACCTGATAACTGATTTTATTTTTCCTGTTTATTTTAAATGTAGGATTACCATCTCATGACAGTTTTGAACTTGGGGATAAGGAGACATCTGTGCTAATGTTTACATGATTTTTGTAGGACGAGAATAAAGAAATTCTGATTCCCTTGTCACCACCTCTTTTTTCTCAAATTAATTATGCCACTTTTGAGATGTTCATGTGCATGCTCTCATTTTAAATCTGTCGAGTATGTCCTAGGCATTTGGTGAAAGTTTTTACATGTAGATTTGTTATTCCACATTAGGTGTTAGGCATGTAGACTGGCATGAGGAACTTTCCAAAGCTAAAGAGAATTCTGGCTGTATTAGTTTTTCATCCTGGCCAGGTTCCTAAGCTCATGTTTCTTGGTGTTCATTCCCTTTTCCTAATTTCCATCTTCTAAGAAAGCTCAAATCAGGGACAGGGAAGATGTCTTGAAGGTTCTGAGGACCACTGTCCTTCCATCCATTCACATATTCATAGACACAGGTATCTTCTGTGGGTATCCACTGAACTTTCTGCTCAGGGATACAAAGATGAATGACTTGTCCTCTGCACTCAGATCTAAACTGACACACAGAGGGTAAGTGATCTAAAATTCTATAAATAGTATTTTCTTTTCACTACTCTGTTCCAATTCAACATAGAAAAAACAATTGAATTTTTGTGTTGTCAATTTAGAAACTTGAATAGACACCTGCACCATGTCAGTTCACCACAATGTTGAACTCCCTTACACAATTTCCTCTGTTGGAGAGTTGTGTAAACAAATGGGCTAACTTATTATGTAACATTAAGATGGGCTACCTTCATGCCCTTTCTTGACTTAATATAGGAGCTGGCATCCAGCGCCTGCCATCTTGATTCCTGCCATGTCGATTCCACTGGTTCTTGGATTCTGAGAAAATAGCACTGGAAGCTAAAAAGTAGATTTCCTAATGTAAATGTACTTTTCCTTGTAGTAAGGCAATGTTGGGTAGGTAAAAGATCAAGTTTTAGCTGGAATTATATTGCCTCCATTTGAATACTACATATTTAATCTATGAAAAATGAAGAAAATTAGTTTAACAAATGAATTTTACTTGATATCAAAATATTTCAAAATATGGTGACCTTGGGGATAGAATAATAAAAGGGGTCCTTGTGGTAAAAGGGTGGAGATCATCATGTCAGAATGTTGCATTTTCTGTTAAGGTTTGTAATAGTAACCTATAAACTAGGACATAAATTTTCAACAGTTGGGAACAAATATAGTCAGTGTAAAATTGGTTAAACCCTGATCTTGAACACATGTGAAGCATTTTCATCATGATCTTGACCTCATGGTGTATCATTTATTCTACAAATACCATATTTCATTAATTACAAAATGAACATTTTTCCCACATTGTAGCATCTGAAATTCAAATACTTCTAAAAATTGATGCTATGCCATATATGCCATAATTTAATTTTTTTTTTTTTAAGATTTTATTTATTGGGGCGCCTGGGTGGCTCAGTCAGTTAAGCGTCTGCCTTCTGCTCAGGTCATGATCCCAGGGTCCTGGGATCAAACCCCACATCCGGCTCTCTGCTCAGCGGGGAGTCTGCTTC